ATATATATAGGGAGCATATCAAGTGAGAGGAATTTATTACGAGAGGGTGAGAGGGTTAAAATATAACCCTTAATTAGATTAATTTTCTCTCATTTGATTAAATCCCAAATTTTCTCTCACTTGATTAATCTAAAGGTTATATATATTTTAACCCTCTCACCCTCTCATAATAAATTCCTCTCACTTGATATGCTCCTAATGATCCATATGTGCACAAAGTTGAGGTATACGTGTATAAAGTAACCAATTGAGTCAAGTATAAGGTTGGAGACTTAGTCTCTAACTGAGTATTAGAATTGACATAGTATTTGGAGGGTAGTCCAAGGAATAATTCCATAATTGACTTAGTTTTGCAAGCTAATGTCGTGGTAGCTCATATCCAAACTATTATACCCTTACATGAATATTAGACTTTCTAGTTTAAGTTGTGACATTTGAGAAACCATGTTGATATGGTATCACTTTGGTTGTTGACCTAGTAGGTGTAAAAAGGTCATGTCGGTTCGATAGGGTTAAGCCACTTAGATTGTTCATCCTGTTATATGAGATCTCTATAAATGAATGTGTAATGACACATTAGTTGAAGTTTATGCATATGATGTGATGTAAATTGTTATTGTTCATATGCTTGTCAGTTATATTGTTGAATGGTGTGTGTTGTGGCGTAAGCATATGCTTGAGTTGTTTACTCGTTGATGCCATATTGAGGTATTTTGTTGTGATGATATGTTGTGAATCATGAGGTGTTTCATTGTTGGTTTACATGTGGTTGATAGTTGTATATTTGTTATACTTCTATATTTGCATTACGTTGATTCCTTTCGATATCTAATTTACCCTTGCATGTTTCTTGATGATTGGATTGCGATGATCATATTTACATGGGAGTAAAATAGAATTAATTGGAAGCAAATTGTAGTTTTGGCTAGTCATGTTGTTAGAGTGTAGTCCTTGACTACTTTTGTACATTTTTATTGTAGTTGTTTGACTGAAACCTAAAGTCATATATATTATAAATTTGGATTATTGTATCTACATATGAACTTGTGTAATTTTCAATTACTTTTGCATAACTCGTATAGTTTTCAATTACTCATAATATATTATTACAATATGCATATTTTAGTTATAAAAATTTATTTGTGTCATATTTTTTTTAATTAATTTTCTTCTAATATAATATATTATATATAATATATTTATATTTTCATAAAAGAGTATTAATATATCATAATTAAATTGTTAGTTTATTTAT